TCCAGCTCGAGACGAACGGTTAGAGAACGCATTCCGAACGGACGAACGTATGGAAATGCGTTCGGCACGTGTGCGAACTGCGTTCAATGGCGTTCGCCCGTTCGGAACACCTTCCAACGCTTTCGCAAACACGCCGAACGCGTTTGGAACGCACGAAAAACGCGTTCTGAACTACTTGTTCCGAACGCATTCTCTAACCGTTCGTCTCGACCTGGGTCCAAAAATGTCTGAGGGATTCAAAATACTCTAAATACCTCAAATCCGCTTTTTCCTCCTTAGTCTTCTCTAGTTATAACATCAATTTTCTATTTTATTATTTTTCAAAACTCTATGAGTATCGAGCATCTCAGTACGTCAGCACTTTTTCAGCACCTTCAAGTATAATTTGATGTTTGGTACATACATATTATCCTCTTCCATGAGATGATTAGAAAATATAAATTGAATTTAATTTCATTTCATTTTATAAATTAATTAATTAAATTTTAAATTAAACACATATTTATTTAAAACAATGTAAATAAAATGAAATTGAATTATAATAAAGTTGATTGCTGAAGAAATTTTATATAATTAAATAAAATAATTCTCTTATATCATTTGTAGAATTCTTATTACTTGAGAGAAGATGCATTAGATACTGTTCGATATGCTGAATTTGGTATTTCAAGTTGTAATATTGGCCCAGATAATTCAGCTCATATTGGCAAAGATCTTATACCTTTTCTGAATACTTATATGCCTTATTTACAAACATTACGTCTTTGGAGACCAGATGATTTTCCTTGGACATCAAGTAAGTTTAGTTTTCAATTAAATACAATGAAAAATAATTTTTCATTTAATAATGTTTTCAAAATGACGAAGAATTGATGTTTTATTGATCAAGTTCTTTTATTTGATTTTAGAAGATTTCTAAACATTTCATGAAACTACAGAGAACTTCATTGAAATTAAAAATATTTCGTGAAATTTTGCAACATATCAGAAAACTTCTTCAAACTTCAAAAGACTAAGAAAACTTTGAAATCATATAAAATATAAATTAAAATTTATATTTGAACAAACATCTTGTTGATTATCAATAGTTGAAGTTGGTCGATTATTAGCTAATAAACTGTTTTTGAGAGATAAAAAACAAATAAAATTAATTAATATTCATTATAGAATTAATACTTAATTAATAAAAATAATTCTATACAGAAATAAACAATTTTATTAAGAAAACATTAAATTTTCAACTAATGATATGATATTTTTGAGTTGACATAAATTTAAAATCTTTTTTTGTTTTTTCTAAGACATTAATTAACAAGAGAATAAAAGTTTAAAAGATTTCTGCTAAAATAAGATCATTGAAAACAAGCAATTACAATGATAAATATCATAAAGAGGATTGAATCTGAGAATTCTTATGTAATTTTATAAGAAATTATTTTTATGATATACTATTTTAAAATAACTTAAACAATATCTAAATAATTCAATTTTGTAGAAAACTTTTTATGAATTAAATATATTCGAAAAGTTTTAGAAGAGTTCATGAGAGTTTGGAATTGAGGTTTATTATTTGTTTTACTTCGAATATGTATTTCTTACTTTCTTTCTATTTATGTTTCATCTATTAATTGCGTTTTTTTTTTGTTTTTACTAAACTATTTTTTAGTCATTCTGAAATTGAAAAGGTACAAGGAAGATCAAGAGATCATATATTAATTGATATTAAGTCTTAATTATTAAAACAGAATGATATTCTTGACTCTTGATATATATGTCTATTAAATTTAGATTCTGATTACTATTTTATAGACGAGAAGAAACAAAATTTTAGATTAAATTTTTATTGATTATTTTTCGTCGAATGATATCAATGAGTTTAATCAAAATTAAAAAATTCATTGAACTTGTAATTATAATCAAAATAATAGAAGAATATCAATAGAATGAAGTTATTATATTATTAATCATAGATTATGTTAATTTTATTGAAGTGTACATAGATAATATCAAACAATAACTAAATCAATACACTTTAATACTGATGATGAGTCGGTGAAGTCGAAAGGTCAATTAAATATTAAAATTAACATAATCTATAATTAATAGTATAATCACTTCATTATATTGATATTTTCTATTGTTTTAATTATCAATGAGTTGTATAAGAGTATATGACAAAAAAAGGACTGGTCAGAAAGGCTTTCTGTAATTTCACCAAATGTGAGTTTCGCCAATTGGCAAATTTCTTTATGAAATTCATCATTTTGAATAAATTGAGTTGTAACTCAACTATAGTACTTGATATGCTAACCGATCAAATTGAATTAAACCTTTCCATCCCACAGAATAGAAGCCCACTGGACTTCTATTATGTTTTGAAAATCATAAGTTTGAAGGTGGGCTTCTATTGCGACCCAGTTTTTCGTCATGTACAGTAAAATTTGAAATATTGTTTTCAATGAAAATCACACTAAGATTATAGTAAATTTATTAATATTTTTATGCAACTGTATATATGTAGTGGTGTTTCGATTGGCAGAACTTGGGAAGGAGGTCGACCACTGTTGCAAAAAATTTTTAGGAATTTTCATAAACTATGGAAATTTTCAAAGAATTTTTCGATAAGTTTTTAAAAATTTCGTAATAAGCTTTGTAAATCGTTAAGCAAAAAAGAAAAAGAAATTTTTGAATATTGCGATGACCTAGGACTACACCAATTTCCATTCTTGAAGTAAGTCGAAATTTGTGTAAAACTGGCATCGCTTTAAAAGATTTCTATCTAGTATAAACACTCGCATGGTTTCCTATGTGATACTATAAAAGTATCTTCGAATATGAGAAAAAAACTTTTTTTTGGAAAATTCTCCTGAGCAGAGAAGGGTTTTCAAAAAAAATTTTCCTCATTCGCAGTTTCTATTTGGGTGGGCTTCTATTACATCCGAAAAATTATAGCGATGAGACTGAGCTTCTATTCCCGATGGACTTCTATTATGGGGTGGACTTTCTATTCTGTAGGAGAGTTTAGTTAAGATGTATGGAAGTACAACAGTGAAAAAGTACAGCTGGTGAAATTACTAATGTATGAAAAATAAAATCTAATATTTATAAAACTTTTATTTGCTTTTCTTTTTGTGATTATTTGAACTTATTAAAAAATGAATTGAAATCTTAGTAAAAGTAATTTTGAAAATGTATCAAATGACTTTTATTTCATTTAAAAATTTTTATATCAAATAAAATTATTTCGTTTGAAAGATTTTATGAAAAAGATAGACAAAACATCTTCTAATTACTTATATTTCTTTAATATTGATTCGTTCTTTATTTTTTTTTTGTTTTTGTTTTATTTCTTTAAGTTCGACCAATCTGTGAATCTGACAAATTATTTAGAAAGTTAATGGCAAAATGGAGACGAACTCTATGTACACCTGAATCTATTAGTATGAAATTCGAATATATTTTTATTTTTTAGAAGAATAAAATCAATTTAATAAAAATTATTGTTATTTAGATGAACATGTTATTGTTTTTGAAAAAGATCTATGTCAATTAGTCGAACAATTAAAAGAATTTGTTTATCTTGATATTTATGGCAGAATTGGTCCTGAAAAAGTTAAACTTTATCATTCAATGGTTCAAAAACGTTTTCCAAATAGTCGAATTTATATTCAAATATCAAGATTTTCACTTTGGATTTAATTATTATCTATAATATGATATTATATAATTATATGATAATGAAAATTATTATAATTCTCTATGTTTTTTTTTCTTTAATAATTAATTTCATCAAGACTTTTTGTTTTTCTTTTAAATAAAAAAATAGAATAAAAACAAAATTCATATTCATTCAATAACAAGACTTTCTCTGAATAAATTTCATATATATAACAGAATCTTTAATAAACAATCATATTAATAACACAAAAATATTAATAGCTTTTCTTTGATTCGTTTGGTTTATTTTTCAAATATCACAAAAACAAAATATCTAAAGGAAAATAATTATTGGCTTGTTAAGAAATTTTTGTCGTTTTTTTCGTATTTTCCCAGAACAGTTCAGAAAGTTCTGGAAATTTCCATATTAAGGGTATATAAAGGCGGTGTAAATATCTCTCGAACCACAATAAAACTATGGATAAACACGCTGATAGCGAACTAGAATTGCATATATCTCGTAGAGAGCTTCGACTTCTTTTGCTTCACGAATTTCGTCTGGGTCACAAAACAGGAGAAGCAACAAGTAACATATGCCATACGATGGGAACGAATGCACTCTCCATTCGTACAACGCAACGTTGGTTCAATCAGTTCAACAACGGTAACTTTGGACTCGATGATTTACCTCATACTGGAAGACCACTCGAGGTGGATATCGATCGCCTAAAGGAACTTATCGAAGATGATCCTAGATTAACTACACGTTGTTTAGCAGAGCACCTTGGGTGCTCTCATGTTACAGTGGCAACACATCTGCACGAATTAGGCAAAACGTGCAAATATGGAGTTTGGATACCACATGATTTGTCACCGCATCAGCTCCAACACAGAGTTGATGCTTGTATGGAATTAATGACATCTCACGGCAACTACCGATGGCTTAATAATCTTATTACTGGCGATGAAAAGTGGGTGTTATATGTTAACCATACACGTAAGCGGCAGTGGCTGGCAGCTGGACAAAAAGGTGTAGCAACGCCCAAACATGACTCTAACCAAAAGAAGATTATGCTGAGCGTTTGGTGGGGAGTAAGAGGAATTATTCACTGGGAACTTCTTCCACCTAATCGCACTATCACTGCTGACTTCTATTGCCAGCAATTAGACCGAGTTGCAGCCAAACTTCAGGGAAAACAGGATAAAATTTATTTTTTGCATGACAATGCCAGACCTCATGTTGCAAAATTAACTCGTGAAAAATTACTGGAGCTTGGATGGATTACGGTTCCACATCCACCTTATTCTCCAGACTTGGCTCCTACAGACTACCACTTGTTCCGTTCTCTTTCTAACTATCTGAAGGAGAAAAAGTTCGACGACGAATACGATCTAGAAATGGGACTTCTCGACTTCTTTGACCAAAAGTCGCAGGACTTTTACGAAAGTGGGATCCTTTCTCTACCAGAGCGTTGGCGACAAGTCATAGATAGTGATGGAGCATATATCGCTAAAAGCTAGTTGTATTCTTTGTATTGAAAAAATAAAAATAAATTTAGCAAAAAAAACGACAAAAATTTCTTAACAAGCCAATAAATATATGTTATGATTCGATCCTAATTAATATTAGAATATCTATTTTACAACAGTCAGCAAAGAGAAAAATTTTTAAATTGTTTAATCTGCAAAAGTGACGAATCTTTTAGAAAATAAATCAATAATTAAAAAGAACAATAGATAAAATTGTATTCGAATGCAATTTTCTCTTTTGTCTTTTTTTAATATATAGTAAGAAAGATTTTCTAATATTTGTTATCTATAAGTTATTAGAAATAAATTTATTTCGAACAAATTATTATATCAAATCTCAAGCTGATAAATTAAAGTAGCAGACAAAAATTTAGAGCATTTTTGTTTTGCGATTTTTCCTATGAAGCACAGCTTGTTGAGAACAACCAAATAGTGATTTCGGTAGCTCTCGAAACGGACTATAAATCCGTACAGTCGAAATTTGTTAAGACATATTGCTTGAATATTAATGACCGAAACTACTTTTTTCCCAGCGGACAAAAGTTTGGAGCAAGTTTACTGTTTTATGAACTATTCGCTATTAAATAGTTGTTAAAAATTCTTTTATATATCATTCGATACAGAATTGAATAGGCTATATTTAGGTAAAAATTACTTTTTGAATATTTTTAGTTTTAATTAATTAATAGCAATTAAACTTCATTAATATTAGTTAACAGATATAGGAAAATTTACTTTTAATTTTCAACTTTCAAATATGCCAGTAGAAAGAGTATTGAAAACTGAATAAAATGATATAGCACTTTGGCCAAAATGACTTGTTTTCGTAGGATTTTAGTAAGATAATTAACAATGTAGTTAATTTTACTATTGTCCGATCAAATAAAAGTGGAAGTAACACGCTTGATTTTTTCTCGTATATCTGCAACGAAAGAAAGCCAAGTTTTTATTGAAATTTGTAGCTCATAGTATTACAGTAACTATTTTACTAGGAGTCAAAAGCCCCCGCGAGAACTTGGTTTTTTCTCCCCAAATTATATGAAAAAAAAATCAAATTTTTACTTCCACTTTCAATTGATCAGACTATAGTATACTATACTGTTATTTTAGTATGGTTGAATCTTGTAATGCAACTTCAAAAGTTGGGATCTAGTGTATTTTGTAGAGCAGACTTTGCGCTTTCGAATGAAGCCTAGCTGTCTTCTTTGAAACGTATTATTAAATTTGGTGCAACGCTTTTAGTTTGATAAAGCATTTTACCCCAAAAAAAAGTACCAAAAACTGCTGGAAAATGTTACTGAAATCGCTCATAAAAATTAAAAACGTTGTACCAATTTAACAATACGTTTCGAAGAAGACAGCTAGGTCTTATTTGAAAGCGTAAAGTCTGCTCTAAAAAATACACTAAATCCTAACTTTTGAAGTGGCATTACAAGGTTCAACCATACTAAAATAACAGTACAGTATACTAGTAAAATTTACTAAATTCTTTTCTCTCCGAATAAAATTCTACTAAAACGAATTATTTCGGCAAAAGTAATATGCCATTTTGTTCAGTTTTTAATGATCTTTCTAATGGTATACTTAAAAGTTGAAAATTAAAGGTAAATTTTCCTATATCTGTTAACTAATATTAATGAAGTTTAATTGCTATTAATTAATTAAAACTAATAATATTCAAAAATACTTTTTACCAAAATATAGCCCATTCAATTCTGAATCGAATGATATATAAATGTATTTTTAATGATGATTTAATAGGCGAAAATTAATAAAATATTAGAAGTGCTCTAAACTTTTGTCCGCTGGAAGAAAAGTAAATCCTATAATTAATATTTGAGCAATGCGCTTTAAAAACTCTTGATTTCACAGACTTGTAGTCCATTTCGAGAGCTATCGAAACCACTGCTTAGTTGTTCTTAACAAACTGTTCTTCGCAAAAAAAATGCAAAACAAAAAGTTCTCTAAACTTTTGTCCCCTATACTTTATTTTAAAAAAGATGTCATTCATTGTAAGTAACAGTTTGTTATTTTTAAATGATAAATAATCAAAAATGACATTTATGGCCCACCTTATCTTTCATCGAGCTGACGAAAGAATTATGAAATGAACAAGGTGTATTCGTTTTTGCCTATGTGAAAATATCTTTTCGTCTTTTCAATTTCAACAATCAACAAGGAAATATAAAATCACTTAAGTTGTACCAAAAGTCCTGATCACGATGTTTAAAGTACCTTATCGGATAAGGTTATCTATTCAGAAATAAGAAACAAATATATCATGCTGTAGAGCTTTTCGAGGTGCATCGAATGGTATATAGTAAATCCTGTTTTCATAAAACTTTGAAAGAATTAGAGTGAATTTACTGATAGACAGCTACACATTCCTATCCATCCATATCCACACTGATACTCAAGTATGATATGTTAATGATTATTGCAGCTTTTGGTGTTAATTGAAAGTATTTGCAAAAGGATGTGGGTGCGGGTGTGTGAGTTTTTGTTCTTCGGACTCACACCAACACCCACACCCACATCCATCCACACCCACCCACCCTCTCTATCGAACCATGTCAAAATTTCCAACAAAAAAGTTTGACTCTATTTTTGAATTTCTGACATCTTAATTTTCTACGCTAAAAAAGCATAACAATTTTTGGAAATTTCTTAAGTTTGACATTAAAAGACCTTCATAATCTTTACTATTTAGTACCAATGAACTCAGTTTTTGATGCACTTTAATTTAGTATAAAATACATTTGTGATATCATTGATACTTTAACTTATAGAGGGGGAGACAAAGGTTATCTAACATCCCGTAGAAAGAATATAGATATAGGTTACACAGATTACACTAGAATATTTTTTCATGGCCGACAATGTGCACATCATCTGTATACAATTACAAAATAGAAGAAGCGTGGTAGCGTAGGAAAACATATGCAAGTGAATGAATCAAATACATGTGTAGGGCAATCGAGTACTCTAGTGTGCTTATCAATATTCATAATGAGTTTAGACCAATGCCTTCTTATTGTATCGCAATACTTAAATACGAAAAGTTGTTTTTGTTGTTCATAAAAATGCATAGATATTGGCGTTCTTTACTCACTAAAGTGACCATATCTCGATTTGGAGAGAATGAATTTTGTTCAAATTTTCAGTACTTATAGCCCTGACTACAACGCTGTTTTTCTGCAAGTTTGACCTTGCGATAAGGCTTTCTTATTGAGACTTGGATGTATCACTAAAAAGTAGGATTTGAAATTTTGTTGAAAAATTTGAAACTTTCATCAAAGTTTTAGCATAGTTTTAAAAGTAGTTAAGAACTTCCATTCCAAATTATCACAACTTCTAGAACATTTAACCCTCTATCCAGCTATGTGTACAGCATTTTGTTATATTTTTCAAATAAACGATATCTGTCATCATCTTTGACTTACATTCTACTGTTTTCTGAAATGTAATGTTTTTGCTATAACTCAGCTGAATCAAAGCCTTTTGAGCTGAAA